TCAAATTCCACACTGATCATGATTCGATGTTCATGACTGCACATAATTTGCATTATTTTTAAGTCGTCTCTTAGAGACAGAAATACTTTATAACGATGTTACGACATCAAAGGACTTTCTTTCTGTGATTCAAGTCGCACCTCTCCCAACTTCTTTCTCTGGGACTGTTCGTTTGACAACTTGAAAACTAGATACTTTAAACCTTTTACATTAATTAGTGAAATCACAAAAAGAAATACCGTTCTCGTCATCATGAGATGTATTTGAAGGCGTTTTAGAAGCTACTCTGTCTTGTGTCAACCCTTCTTGAACCATGGAACTCAGTTTGTCGGCTTCACCAACGATGAAAGCCATGTGAGCATCCAAAGCCTTTCGCTTCTTCGATTCGAGAATTTCCTCAAAATTCAGTAATGCAGCTTGAGATTTATGAATCAACGAACGGGACAGGTCTACCTGCGCTCGATGTTCCACAACCTTATCTACACTCTGCCAAAAATCACGAACCATTTTTGCAATTGAGGCGCAAATCCGTTTACCGTCCTGAAATTTTTTTTTAGGGCAACATAGGATTGAAGCACATAAATTGTCATGCATCGACAACAAATAATTATATGGAGGCCCACCCTAATTGACCGCAGATGAGCACGCTCTTGCTCAGTTTCATCATCTCTCTTTTGCTTTTGAATGGCCAAAGCAATCTATAACGTAATCTTTTACTTAATAATGAATAACTCTTTTGAACCAGTGTTGTCATTTCAAAAAAGGAACGTCAGCAAAAAACCTTTCGCGCAACGTTCCGCTTAAATTGACGTTCCATTCGGAAATCTGTAGCCATCCACTTCATTTCCTCAAGAAGGTAATCCCAATGTGTTTTATTTCGTGGGGGCTCTACGCAAAGCGGAAGACGACTCGCTGTCCACAATCCAGCACGACGGAGTTCAGCGATCCTCATCATCACTTGTGCTTCCTAGAACAGGTCATCATTTTTAACGCCAATTTCGAACAAAGCTTCAACTTGTAATATAAAAACATGATCAAGTGATTGACAGTTTCGCTTTTTCACATAAAATGCGATGGAAACACGAACTGACAATAGGGTACCGCTTTAAAAATAACGCGCACTATCCAGGTACACGTGGAAACCGTCACAAATTTTTTCAGAAAAAAAAGGATAACTTTGACGAGGATAGTCAAGACAATGTTTGTTTACCTGCTTTGCAGCTTTCTCCACATTGGATTCTGCATTATTTATCGCCAACAAAGAAGTACCGGTTGGCTATAATAAAGCGATAAATGGATGACAACATTCACTGACTGAAACTGATTCACGATATCAAATTACATTTCGTTCAGTGTGAGTCATTAACTCGAGGTAGACTAAGTTCATAATCAAAGTGCGCCAAAAGTACTCACTTCCTGTGGATCTTCTACTTTTACTTCTATAGGAGACAAGCCAGCAGGAGATGCAACAACACGATCTGAAATACGAATTGTGGAACGATGTAACAATGATGAACCTTTGAATCGTACCATGATAGTTCGAACAAGGCGTTGGTACACGACGAGGTGAACCACAAGTTTCCGCTTTTATCAACTCCTCCGATATCCTAGAATAGTTCACTTCAATGGACTTCCTACTCTCTTCTGACTATGAGTAAAACAGTCGCCATTGTATAACTGTACAACTTTCAAATGCGTGCAGTACGACAAAAACCGTTGTTTTAGAAAAAGAGAGGTAGAGCTGAATCTCTGATAGAAATCACACTAACAAAAGAGTGATAGATCTAAGTCACAAACATACCCATGCTCTAGTTCCGCTAAAACACTATTCAGTTCGAGTGTTCTCGACCTATTACTTCCTAGTCCTGGTCCCATTCTTTCTCTTTGTTCTCTGGAAAAAAAAGGACTCAAAAAGTTGGAAGAGATCACATTCGTCTGAAAAACCTCTAGAAAAAAGATGAAAGCACACCAGAAAACAGCAATTAACAACTAATTTCGTGAATTGTCTACTAGTCTTACATAAAATCGCGACAGGTTCGTCTAGCTCGTAACAATCGCATGATATACTGCAGATAAATTTCATCGCCTCGGGCGTCAGAATCGGTTGGAATCTGGAACGACAAAGTACCAAGCGAATAAGATAATTTGTGAGTTGAAACTGATTGACAACCCAAAAATCTACAGGTTTTCTTATGTAATGGCATTCATCCAACTAAAAACACCAATGTGGAAAGATTTTGATCGTTAGTGAACACGACTGATCTTTGTATGATGGGTGGCCTTCACGCTGTGACCCTTCTACAACTTTTTTTTTCATGTCCCTTCTTATGAGTTCTTCGTAATCATACCACTTTAGTGGACGAACAGAAGACTACATAAGGAAATCTGAACTACGCTGGACGACTTTCTGGAATCTAAAAGTCTCCGTAACTTAGTATTAGTCTCAAATGTCCATGCATAAGGGGAGAGATTACACTGAGAAAAACAATTATTGTACACATTTACTAGACTTTCAGTAACTTTTACCAGAAGAATAATAACCAAACACTGGCTTTGATAGCCATGTAGCTCTTAGGATTCTAAAGTGGATCTAAAGAAGGCGAGAGGATTCATTCAAATTTATATCCGATGATTCTGCAACTCACCTCCCTGCTAGTGGATGGCTCATCCATTGGACCGCTATGAGACTCACGTCGTAGTGGCATATTAGAGAAAGGTATCACCGCGTAAATTGCCCTAAATACTTCACCATTAGATGAAAGAGAAAAACAAAACTCGAATAGGATTCCTACGAAGTAAATGACAGCACGAAAAGCTTTGTAAAAAGAAACAAATTCCCTTCTTCCCACAAACAGTAGCTTCAAAATGGACAATATCTAGAGAAATAACTACGCCACGACCCATTATTTCATATCTGAGTCTCCATTCAGTAGCACGGAAAATTAGTCACTTCTATAGAAATGAGAAACTTCCAGAGGATCTCTGAAGCTACGAGCGTAGAGCCATCACTTAGTGGGCAAACTGTAAAAATGTCTAGATCCAAGCCTGAACATTCATGCTAAAGCGATATCCATTCAGTCAACAGATATGCTTCTTCTACATATGAAATGAACAGAAAACCTTGAAATGATCCATATCTATAATTTAAGGGCGTATTATCCAAGTTTTACAGCTCAGTACTCACATAAGAGTATTGCCATCCTAAGGATACCAAATGGTACGCAAAACATTCGACATCTACCGGGAATTGAACCTGAAATCGAAGCAAGGATGGTAGCAAAGCGGTGTCCTCTTTAGTGCAATGAAAGCGCGGGTTCCAACTCCCGCCTGGGGTTGGATACTTACATACCACTCAATACTCTCAAAGCAATGTTTATAGAATTACAATACTGCTTAGAACCGCTGAGAAAAAATTTCAAATAGATTCGTGGCAACCCCCCTATGATTGTATTGCAATAAAGACCAGCACTGATCAGGAAAGGATATAAAAGGATAGAGCTCTCGGTGCTGATCAATCCCCTGGGGGATGAATCATGCATTCGGCTTCATTCTTGAACCCCGGATGTGACTCTGTGCATACCTGGTCATTACGACTCCCGATGCCCTAGAGATGTCTCAAGTCATTGCTGCTTTCGTACGAAACAAGTCTGGAACGATTTTCTAGACCACGGAGAGATGAAAGGCTTACAAGCCTTGGGTGCGGGATCGAACCAACAACCACGTGTGTGCTGCAAGAGCACCCTAACCACTGCACCAAATAGAGGGATTACACCGAACTGAATATAACACTACTTAATTACAAGACCCGCCATCACAATTTATTGTGCGGATCCCAGTACTTCTAGCATTCGGCTTGTCGCCTTCTTGAATGACTTAGAATACTGATTAAGCAAGTCGCCTTGCAATCTCGAAGACAGTATGGCAGTGGGGCTCCATAGGGCGTTCTTGTTGACTGCCCGAGAGTGTCGGGGGATGGACCTCGGCTCCACGCGGGCCATGACGGGCACCAAAATCACGCGGCCACGGCGCTACAATGCAGATACTACACTACACAACTTGCCTCAAAACCCCGAGACTTATTTAATTTGAAACTTGCTGTATATGCACTGCTTCAAATAACACAAACTCCGCTTGCTTCGCTAAAAAGGTTTCGCAGTGAAGTGAAAACTCACACATTTGGGTTTCAAATACCCATAGAGAGATGGAAGAACTACATAGCCAAGTGAAGAAACCACCAATTCAGAGAAAAATTACTAAAAGAGATCAAAGCAAGACAGAAATCGAAATTAAGCTCTCTCTAGAGGACATTCCTACCTCATGCATTCCTCTGTGCAGCTCCCTGTCAATAAAATAATTGAAATACTCAAAAAATAGCAATCAGACGGCTCTGAGGAAAGCGCAATATCGTCAAAACTGTGGTATATTATAAATTCTGCTATTAACAACTTTGAATCTGCTCATCAAGTAAAACACCAGAGCTTTCTAGATGATTAAACAGTTGAACGAAGTTGAAAAATTCAGGAATTTGGACTGATATGGGAAAGTTTAGGCATCTGGCGGGAGCTGAACCCGAGTCTCATCTTTTCCAAGGACGCGTATAACCTCTTGGATACGTAGTTCCAACATAGTAACATTGCTACTAAGGCAGTAAAAATTAAGATCTTTAAAGCTAGAAAATCCAAGAAATCTGAGTGACATACAAAACTTACAACCTAGGGGCAAGGGTTCAACCCGCGCCTCACCGTTTCCAAGGGTGTGTGAAGCCTCCGGATACGCAGAAATAAAATTATTTCGAAAACTCTAAAGTTGGAGGATTGGGAAAATTTGAGAGATCTTTGAACGTCGGGCGAGAGTTGAACCCGCGTCTCACACTTCCCTCGGGCGCGCAGAACCCCCTGGATACCTAGCTATAACATTGTAACACTGCTATTAAGACAGTGAAACTGAAGATTCTCAAAGTAGGAGAATCCAAGAAATTTGAGTCGAATACAAAGCCTTGAATCCCACGGCGGGAGTTGAACCCGCGTCTCACCCTTTACGGGGGTGCGTGAAACCTCCCGGATACACATACCATTACAACAATGCTACTGACGCAATAAAATTCAGGAAAAAAACGTTGAAATTGGAGAATCCAAAAATTACGAGATATACAGAGTTTTGACCCGGGCAAAAGTTGAACCGGCGCCTCGTCCTTTAGAGAGTGCGTGCTAGACTCTAAGCCACGCAGTTATAATAGTACAAAACTGCTAATAAAACAATGAAATCATGTGAATGCAGTTTGAGAAAAGAAAGAGAGAGACACGGACGACCACGTCTGAAGTCAGTAACAAGATATTCAAACAACCACGAGAGTGCCCGGCGACGAGCTCATGCCGCCGACCGGCCGGCAGACGCGCATTGGCGGAAAGACGATGGACGACGGCTTCGAAGCGGGTTAGCAGTTGCGACGCGGCCGCGTCACGTCTGGCGCGCGCGAAGTCGGACGCGGAGCTCGCTCCGCTTGGTACGCAATTGCGGACAGACAGACACATTGTCGTGGAGATCGTGTGTGGGAGCGCGTTTCTTTTGTGATCTACACCGATCAATAAATGGTCTCTCCCGCAGGCACTGCTAGTACGACAGGGCTGTCGGTGAGATTCATTTGGCTAGCGCATATCCACGTCTTCGTCTTCGTCACGGCGGCGATTGATTTGAGTCGATGATCCATCCACAGTCATTTGTACCCGTCGGATCTTCATCTTCGTTGTCGTTCGAGCGGTGTTTCGGCTTTGAAAAAGATGGCGTCGAAACGAGTCAACCCGCTGACTTCCGTCGGACCCATGCTGGGCTTGTCCGCCAGCTCCACTCGACGCCGACTACAATACTACTTTTCCTTGCAACCCGCGGCTAAATTCTGGACTAATTCGCATGCGGTACTGACACGAAAAGTAGTACTGCAGTAGGCGACTAATCGGGGCGGAGGCGGAGTCGTTTCTACGCCGGCTGACACGCTCAGCGTGGGTCCGCGGAAGTCGATCGGCCAATTCAATTGATTTCACAGTCAGCCTTGCGTTATCAGCTAAATCACGGAGTGAACTGCTATTGATTGGCGTAGATCACAACAGAAACACCAAGTAAATTTTCATGATCAAGATCAGGAAATGAGCCTAAATCATAAGAAAAACCGTTACAGTGATGCCGACGATTTTCGAAGCGAAAGAAGGATTTTGGTTATATGTGCACTGATTAGTGCGCCTAGTTCCATAGTCTTTAGCAGCCGGTGCGTGGCGTAGTGGTTCGAGGTATCCTGCTACGCACTGGTGGTCGGTGGTTTGATGCCGCGCTCAGGCTCGACAAAGCTTCTACCCTTCCGAAGACGGTAAGTTGATAGCAGTTGTCTAGAAGATAAGCAGCACTGACTTGAAACATTGGTAGGGCTACCGCGAGTCGTTGTGAGTCTTTTGCAGCCCGTGCATGGCGCAGTGGTTCGAGGTGTCCTGCTACACACTGGTGGTCGGTGGTTTGATGCCGCGCTCAGGCTCGACAAAGCTTCTACCCTTCCGAAGACGGTAAGTTGATAACAGTTGTCTAGAAGATAAGCAGCACTGACTTGAAACATTGGTAGAGCTACCGCGAGTCGTTGCGAAGGCCCAGATATGCATTCAGTCACCTCTAGGATAGTACGAATGGAGCCAAATGTATGGCAAATTTCTCAGGGACTTCTCACCAACTCTTCCAGTGGTTGAGCGATTCCGAACAATCCAGATATCTTGGAAGATTCTGGATGAATAGTTCATGACGATGGATTGATTATAATCGTGTATTGAAGGGTGCCGAACAGTGTGCGAGACTTTGGACCTTGACGGGAGTTGAACTCATGTCTCACCCAAAGAGAAGACGCGTGCAACCACTACTCCATCGACGTCACCGCTCTGCTACCACTCTTCTTTAGAAGATATCGCGGCTGTCATCAATCAACCGTTGACGCAGTTCATTGTCGTTCTCAGCTTCCCATCGAATTCAATGGTACAAGCCTTTCTAATACCGTTCCCCAATTGACTTCCTGCTTCCTGCGGACTGGAACAACAACAGCAGACTAGGAGCCGCGGTAGTGCAGTGGTTAGCACGCACTCTTGAGAAGAACGAGATGTGGGTTGATTCCCTCCCGAGGTTCAAAGTACTGCATAACTTTCAACGTTCTTGACTTCCTACGCTTCATTTCCCTTAGGATCCGTATTCACTTGGAAAAATCCATGGAATCAAAACGACAGGGGGCGCGGCCGGCTCAACCAAATGTATTTTCATCCGCATCGATGTTGAATTACCCAAGTTTTTGTGGCGAGAGAAAAGGTTATGTATAGTAGAAAACTTTATTGTTCATTCAAAAAAGTGGTGATAATAGAAGTTAAAGAGAAAGATCATTTCGAAATTACAGCGAGAAGACAGAGCCTCTGCCGACTGAGAGAAGAGCTATATTTCTAGGAAATATTTTGCGAACTTTTATTAGCACTTGGCTCGATTTCACTGGTAAATTGAAGGTCTCCTCACATAATTCTAAGAACATTTTCAACAAAAAAAACTCTTATATGACTAATAGAAAATATTTTCCATGATCGGCATTGCACTAAAAGAATAGAACAAATTGGACTCAATAACATGAGAAAGGAGAAACATGGAGATATACGCTGATATTGTACTCAACGTCTTTTCCGTTATTCTCCTTAGAAAGTGATCAGCTTTATCGTCATTTGGTACAATTCAATAAAAACAAGCCAACATTACAAACTACACATTTATCTCTATCAAAGATCATTTGAATAACGAAAATCGGACCCTAACCTTGAATTGACGTTCCCAGAGAAAGCTTCTCTAAGGTTTACACTATTAGAGGCCTATTTATTACAAACATATAGAAGAAGGTCTAAAAAGACGAACCAGTGCAAAAATAAGATAAATCAAGTCCTCTGCAAAGCATTACTTAACATGGCGATGTTTCATCGAAACTTTGCTATCGATAGCATCCATAATCAGACCGGAGAACACTATGAATGTCGCCCATTTTTGTCGTTCCAGTAGTGGATGATTCATAAATACAACAGAAAAGATGATCGTAAACAACTTTCGAGTGGTTGTTACCACCGAGCAAGTCAGCGGAGAGAATTCGCTGATCGTTTTGAAGATGAAGTACTGAAAATCAAACTGCTCACATCACGAGAATGAGCGTAAAATGTTCGACAGGTATTCATTATTATAGAAATCCTCAAAAAAGATCGAGTTATTGATAAACACCCAGACTCGAACTATCCCCAGACTATATATATATATAATATATATATATATATATATATATATTATATATATATATATAATATATATATATATATATATATATATATATATATATGAGCACATGTGACGCAATGGTTAGAGGTGCTCTGCGTCGCACACGGGGTCAATGGTACGATCTTGCGCTCAAAGCTCACCAAGCCATTCATCCCTGCGGGGTCGGTAAATAGGTACCAGACAAGCCTGAGACTTGTCTGGGAGGATAAGCAGCACTGACTTGGTTCAGCGGGAGGCCATCGCGAGTCATTGTAAGGGCCAGATATGCACTTAATAACCTCAAACGATGTTAAAAATCGAAGTCGAATGCATGGCGTATCCCCTAGTAATTGATAAAGTCCGAGAGGTCAATCGTTTTCCTCTATCATATCGTAGCTGTCAGCAACCAACCTCCAACGGGTTCGGTCGGGTAAGCACATATCGCCGTTTAACTCAATTACTGTGATAACTCCTAGGATGTATAATCGTTCAAATCTTTTTAACTCCTTTTTAGCAGTGTTATGATACTACTAATGTATGTGGGGAAGTACTGAGTGGTTCGATTCTTGTATTCCTCGGGACGTCAAGCGCTCTAAAGCAAGACCACTAACCCGCTAGTCCGTCTCTTCACGAAAGCGATAGAAGAAAGATATGATGCTCAGCGAATCCCTAGAGCGAGGAGGACCCACTGGGCTAATCTTGCACGCGATAGGGAAAAATGGAAGAGTTGCTGGTACCCGCTCGAGTCACCTCGACGATTAACGGGACGACAGGTGATATAAATGATACTGAGTGGTTCGCAAAACATTCGATATCACGCGTGAGTCGACCTCATGATTCACCCTTACCGGAGGAGAGTGCTGCCACTACACCATTGATACGACAATCACAGTTAGTCCAGTTACTCTCCTTTATTTGAAGCTTTCCTTAAGTTGGTCGATCTTCTTCAAAAGCGATGGTCGACGTTTCGGCTACTTCATCTCCTCATAGCTGTTCTGTCAAGTTTCAGACAAGGATTATTTCAAATCTCAAACCTGACAAGACGGCTCTGAAGAACACGAAGTCGCCGAAACGTCAGCTACCGATTTAGTAGAAGATGGTCAACTAGTGCAAGCTTTGAATAAAATGATAACTCGTGAGATATCTCTCAATTTTCATTGCACATGTCGAGGTTTAATGGAAATCGGTCTCTCGATATAGTTGCTACACCTTATAGAACGCAACACGGTAAGAAACAACCGTCTTTCAAGTTTTTTTTTCGCATAACATGTAATAAAATAAAACTAAATTACCTGTCCTCCACAGCTTGATGCAGCCACTAAACACAAGTCAAACAGAACGTGTGGATGGCGATGAACAAAAGAGGCGAACCCGAAAAGCTCACCGGTAGCCACCAATCTGAAAAGAAATAACCAACCCTTTTGAAAACGATATAGGCATGTCCGCGCTTTTTGGACGGCTTCGCAGATTGGTACAATCACCCGAAAGACCGGCTTTCTACAGATCTCAACACCAATAATCAAAAACAGTGATTTCTGAAAAGTCATTTTGCTTAGCCGATGCGAGGCTTTCAGTTGTAGTAGAAGTACCAGCAATAATTATAGCAGTTCGATGGCTGACGTTTCGGCGAGATAGCTTTCTTCAAAGCTTGAACATATGTTGTATTAAGCGATATGAATGATCCAGATCGCCTAATATAACATACGTCTGATGAATCATTCGAATAGCCGAGCACGATATACTTTCAGGCTCCGACGAAAGCACGTCGCCGAACCGTCAGCCATCGAACAACTGTTAATTGCTACTATTCAAAAGTTCGACTTTCTATAAACCTCGGCATAATCAATTGATATATGAAAATGGAGAAAACTTATCTTGATTAGCTGACGTGAGGTTGATAAAACAGTTGTAGAAATTCGGCTGACGTTTCGGCGACCCGCCTTCTTCAGAGCCTGGACGAATATAGTATTAGTCCTACTATATATACTAATACTATATTCGTCCAGGCTCTGAAGAAGGCGGGTCGCCGAAACGTCAGCCGAATTTCTACAACTGTTTTATCAACCTCACGTCAGCTAATCAAGATAAGTTTTCTCCATTTTCATATGTTAATTGCTACTACTACTACAATTACCAACCTCGCTTCCCTCAAACGAGAAGTTCTCGAGACTGGCACGCTTGCGATAAAAATTTGGTACATATTCGTTAAACTTAGGTTTTCAAAAGACTTTATCGTCTCCTAATGATGGTATGTCACGGAAGAGACTTTTCAGAGGGTATTTTTAGTACGGGAAAAATGTTCACATCACCCAGATATTTTTGCTGATCGAGCCACTTTTACAAAACTGTAGTAAGATAACCGATAACATAAGCCGCTTATCAGATCTCTTATGGCACTTTCAAAATACTGGACTTGAGTTTCGGCCTTTCAGCCTCATCAGTAGCACGAAGCGTTTCGGTTCAATCAGTTCCCTTGTAAAGGGATATGCCCCTACATATAAAGGAATCGACGATATGTTACACTGAACGCGGAAGAAAAGATCACATCACTGCAGAGATGACAAATTACTACATAACCAGTGACAATCCTCCCAAATGGTTCATCACCTCATCGTGGTTGGGCAATCTTCGGTCCTGGACTGCAAAGTGCAGCGGTAATCATCCCCAAGGAGTCCGACACTTGCATTCAGGAAAGCCCAGCTAAGGATAAACCGCAGCAGGAATTATTGCCGTCTTGGTAGCTACTGATCTCAATGTGGTAATCTACCTTGATCCACAGAGGCAGGCAACTGCTATAATGTGGTGATGACCTGAAGAAGCTCTAGCTAGGCTTGACTCGAGACTCCAGGGAACAACACAGCTGAACCAGCACATTTTCATGTGCTGGTGTCCGCACAATCTGTGAAGACGGACCGTCCATGTAAGTATCTGGTGATAAGATCAACCGAAATTGTAGTGATTAACAGTGGATTGCTCATGGCTCGTAAATGAATGATACATTTGAACTCAACTTTTTTTTTGAAACACGCTCAAGACAGCATATAACCTGATAACATATTCCAAGCATTTCACGAGGTCTATAACGACACTTATATAGTTTTGGTCGTACGATTCGGCATATCAGGCTTGAAATACGCTGGCAGATTATATATTGTTTTAAGCGAGGTCACAAAAAACAGCCGTATATAAAGGCAAAACAAAACAGGTTCTTAAAAGAACATGACATGCGTGGAAACGCTAGTCGAATAAACTGCTTCATAGAAACATCGTGAAGATGTAATAATCAAAAAAGAATATATGATTAATTAGTAATGTAAAGTTGAAGGATAGTCCGTAATCAGAACATTATAAAATAGTAACGCTCATAAGTTCTTCGTAGCCGTCCGAACAGCGCACCAGTCGAACTCTGCCGACGCAGAGAAAGGGTTGAATTAATCAAAGATGTTACAGCAATTCATCAATAACTGGGACAGGCTTTCTTTCCACTATCCGGGAACAAATGAAGGAATGACTCCTATCGGTGGACAACAAGTTTTCATAGGAGTGTCAGTAACCACTCAAAAGCTTGAATCTCTGGCTAAAGCTGTCAGTGGTTGATTTTCCAAAACACCGCTCTTTTAACGCTGTAAAATCCAAAATAAAATTATGTTTCACGAGACGATGCATTTTTCTCATCTCGCTTATACTTCGCCGGACAAAACTCCTTCCTTGGAGTGGTATCTTTCGACAGCACAAGTTCTGCGAACTCAACCATTCGCTAGCTTCTTGGAAAAGCTCTTTTGATAGAGCTGTAGAAGAAAGACAACGTTTATTTCACACTTCGCCGGACAGAGCTCTTCCTTAGACTAATA